TAGATCTAGATCTAGATCTAGATCTAGATCTAGATCTAGATCTAGATCTAGATATAGATATAGATATAGATATAGATATAGATATTAAAAAGAAGAATCACTGTCCTAGGAAGTGTTTTAGGGCAGAGTTCCTCAACCGTGGCAACTTGAAGATGCGTGGACTTCAACTCCCAGAATTCCCTAGCCAGCCATGAATTCTGGGAGTTGAAGTCCACACATCTTCAAGTCGCCAAGGTTGAGGAACCCTGTTTAGGACCTCTGGGAAAGTGACTGGATGGATTATGAAATTGACTAGAGTAGAAGGGAAAGGAAAAACCTCTTCCTGCCTGGGCCGAAACGGGTTTATTTCATTTTTCAGCATCTGATTTCCAACATGCAGAAGCCACAGCTCGCCCTTTGCCCCTTTGCGGGCACAGCCACTGGCTCCAGACAAGCAGTTGGGTCTCCAACTGATCGCCCGGAGAGGGTCTTTGACCCCCTCCGTTTTTTGTCACACTGGCGTGACGTGCGGCTCACGCTCCAGATCCAGAGGGTTTGGCACAATCGTCGTGGTCGCACGCTTATGGAGTGTTTCTCACTCGATAATGGTGGCGGTAATTATTACTAGCAGGGTCACAAGCTGCGAAAAGCTGGTTTCCACATTGCACTGGGGGTTAGTTTGGGGCTGAGCGCGGTTGCCGATCCATCTAGAGCGCACTGAACGTGCAAAGCAAGCTGTGTGCAAACGGCAATCCGTGGTTTAAAAATTCCCAGTTTGGGGCTGCTGATAAAGGCCATCTGTGTACCGCTGCAAGGAAAAAGTGGCAGGGAAAAAACACCCTTTGGGGCATTAAATCCCTCTCTGATTTCACAGAAACAGGACGATGCGCGAGGGATGAGATGCGGAGATGACCTGTCTCCATCCGCTAACCTGCCATTCCCCCTTCCCCGTTCCCCATACGTACGTCGGCTGCCTTCTTCTCGGCCACTTCGAGCTTCTCCTGAGCATCTTTCAGAGCCTCTGAGTATTTATCCAGTTCGTCTTCTGTGCCTTTCAGCTTTTTCTGCATTGCAGCCAATTCATCTTCCAGCTGCAAAATGAGAGGAAAAGAAAAGGAAAAATTGGTTATTTGAGAGGCACAAGCTGGCTCTAGGTGTCTGCTGTAAAAGTTAAATAAAATTGAGGTCAGGGCAGAAGTTCCCAGTCCAGATCCTTCCTTCCTTCCTTCCTTCCTTCCTTCCTTCCTTCCTTCCTTTCCTTTCCTTTCCTTTCCTCTCCTTTCCTTTCCTTTCCTTTCCTCTCCTTTCCTTTCCTTTCCTTTCCTCTCCTTTCCTTTCCTTTCCTTTCCTCTCCTTTCCTTTCCTTTCCTTTCCTCTCCTTTCCTTTCCTTTCCTTTCCTCTCCTTTCCTTTCCTTTCCTTTCCTCTCCTTTCCTTTCCTTTCCTTTCCTCTCCTTTCCTTTCCTTTCCTTTCCTCTCCTTTCCTTTCCTTTCCTTTCCTCTCCTTTCCTTTCCTTTCCTTTCCTCTCCTTTCCTTTCCTTTCCTTTCCTCTCCTTTCCTTTCCTTTCCTTTCCTCTCCTTTCCTTTCCTTTCCTTTCCTCTCCTTTCCTTTCCTTTCCTTTCCTCTCCTTTCCTTTCCTTTCCTTTCCTCTCCTTTCCTTTCCTTTCCTTTCCTCTCCTTTCCTTTCCTTTCCTTTCCTCTCCTTTCCTTTCCTTTCCTTTCCTCTCCTTTCCTTTCCTTTCCTTTCCTCTCCTTTCCTTTCCTTTCCTTTCCTCTCCTTTCCTTTCCTTTCCTTTCCTCTCCTTTCCTTTCCTTTCCTTTCCTCTCCTTTCCTTTCCTTTCCTTTCCTTTCCTTTCCTTTCCTTTCCTTTCCTTTCCGTGCAATGGGCTCCTTTTTAATTTGGAACAGAATTTAGACAAGACCCAACCAGAGGCTCAGGACTGGGCGAATTCAGGGCGGCCAATTTGTGCCAATTTATCAAGAGGGATCCAGAGAAGCCCCCTGTGCAGAAACGGTCTCTCTAGCAGGACCACGCTTGGTGGCCAGACGGGTCCCGACAGAAATACCAATGAAAAAGGGACTCGCCAGGCTCACACACAACATTATCCAGCATCTTCCTATATAGGTCCAACGCCAGGGCGTGACGGTGTGTTCCTTTCGACAACCAGGTATACTCCATTGGAACATGGAGGCTCGTTTAGTCAACTCACGCCCAGACACACACCCATTCATTCCCGGACACACATCGTCCCCCAAATCACCCATCCATTCACTTATTCACCCCCCCATTTCTTTATTTTAAATGAGATCAACAAATAAAAGAGAATGTTTGGCTAGGTCAAGCTAGCAAACAGCCCGGATGGAAGCTGCTCCCCTCTGGGGTTCTTTGCCCCAGTGGTAGACTGCCCCTGACCCTGGAGGCTTCACTTCCCTCTCTTCCCAGACTGAGTTTAGCTCCTTGTCCTCTAGGCCCATGACTACACTATCTTTCTTCAGCAGCCATGCCTGGGCAGCAAACGTTGCAGAAATAATAATAATAATAATAATAATAATAATAATTATTATTATTATTATTATTATTATATAATAGTATCACTTTTAAGAGTGGCAATACAAGGAGGGGCAATGAGAATATTGCACGCTCAGATCTGAGTGAATTTTTTTCCCATCAAATCATTGCAAGCACGCATTGTGTGTGTGTGTTTGTAACCTGAGCTTTGCCTGGAAATAAAAGCTCGGGAGGGGAGCCCCCCAGCCTATTGTCAGCTGCATGCTCACCCAAAAACCTCGCAGAACATGCCCCCCCGCCCCCTGGCTCTTTTGTGCCAAGTCGTTGGTCAAGCAGACGGAATGAGCAACCGGATACGAGCTTTGCAGAATTCCTCTCTGCCCACCGGGCTCCACGCCACTCCGGCCGCCCGCCACGTCATGCCAAGCAGAGGATTCCTCCTCCCTCCCCCCGGCGATCCGCACCGGGGTGAACGCAGCGAAATCCCAGAATAGGTTCAGATCCAGATTTTTGCCCCCGCTCACGTGAGCATACGCAGAGCGCTTCCCCCCTGTGCACTAGAGTGACAACGGGCCTTTTTCTACCCCCAGGTTGGCTAAGTAAGAAGCTGAGTTATGTTTTTGTCAATTCTCAGAAGTCTTCTTGACCTCTCAAAAACTCTCTAAAAAGGCTGAGTGATTGGATCAGCAGCGTTCAGGGGATGCTCTCTGAGCATACGCTGAGTGTCCCCATGCTTACGGCACCTACCCGCTGCAGCTAAATCCAATCTAAGGTTCTTCTCCCTGTCTCTGTGTTTCTTCGACGCACGTCAGAGAAGAAAACTCCCTGGATCATAAGAACAAATACCAGGGGTATCCTCTGAACATGTGCAGAAGGCACGCTTCTTGCCAACAGGGAGAAGAAAAAGGGATAACTCAGGTCTAACCTCTTACGCTGAAGGAAGAGATTTGCAGAGCAATAGGACTGAAGTCTGCTAGTGCATTCTGCAGTGGCTCAGAAACCCTTATCCGAGTCTTATTTTCATGCCACGTAGAAATTGGGCTTCCAGATCCTGAGATCTGGAAGAATGAATATTCACCAGAGCAGGGAGCAAATGTGTGTGTGTGTGTCTATGTGTGATGGATTGTGGGTGTGCATCACGGGCTGGCCCTTTCTTGAAAAGGAAATCTGTTTCAACGTGATTTTGGGGCGTGTTACGGAAATAAATTACGGAAAACCGATTCCTGGGGGGGGGGATAAGGCCCAAACATATTACAGATCAGAAGCAACGTCAAAACCAAGCTAAGATGGATGAGGGGGTAAAAAAGTAATTGGGCTGTTTTCAACGTTGGGCCTTCTGGTGGCCGACCCCTGCGATGGATCAGCAGGGAATCTGCAAGAAATGCGGAGAAATGCGGCTGACGGTGTTGCCAAAGGGGAGAGTAACAAAGGGAACGGACTTTTTCTTACATCTTGGAAGGAAAAAGGGAAGTTGACCTCGATCAATCAGAACAAAAATTCCACTCTATTGCTAACCATTCCAAAAGTGGATATTATTTAGGATATTCACGGCTGACTCTCTCCCCCGTATCTTCTTCCTCCTCTTCTCCCATCCCTGGAGTTTCATAAAATAGAAACGGTTCGGAGGCTAAGCCCAGTCAATGAAGTTGGCATCTCAGAGTCGGACGGGTCACTCGAGACCACTTAGTCCAACCCTCTGCTCTGGGCCAGTCTCCAAATTCCAGCCGCCGTGCCAAACGATTGTCCGACTCCACGTTTGGTGACGGAGAGGCCATCCCCATTCAGGGACGTTCCTGCCACTGCCCAACCGCTCTTAGTGCTAGGAATTTTTTTTCCTGACATACCAAGAATGTGCCTTCCTGTAACTTAAATCCGCTCTTCTTTCTCCTGCCCCCTGGAATAGCGAGAATAAATCTTGTCTCTGCTCTTCCTTCCTTTTTTCAAAGAATGCCATCCCGTCTAGCCTCAATTCTCTTTGCTCAAGGCTAAAGATGCCAGCTCCTTCCATCTTTCAGCCCGGGGCTTAATTTCTAATCTCCTGCTCAGCCTCGCCGCTCTTCTCTGACCCTCTGCCAAGTTCCCTGGATTTTTTTTTTTTTTTTAATGTCTGCAGCCCAGCACCTTAAAAGGTGGGGTCCACCCAAGGTAAAAGAAACTAGATCTATGACCTCCCATACTTATACTTCTCTTGGGGCAACTTAAAATTGCAAATTTCTTGTTCGAAAGCCACTTCCACGTGGCCTGACCACGGCCGCTCCAAAATCCTTTGCACGTCTCCCATTGCCAAGCCAGTTCTTCCCCCATCGTAGACGTGTTTCGTTTCGGTTTCCTAAAATGATCTTTTGGCAACATTAATTTGCTTGCTTCTAACCCATTTTCTGATCAATCTTCTATGGTTTTCCTTCGCCTAGCTAAGCTGGGGTCATCTTTGGATCCGGTCGGCGTTCTCTGCCCCGTTTCATCCAACTCATTAATAAAAAGTATGGAAGATTAGAGGACTGATCTGTTGAAACCCCACCAGTTTATCCCTCTGCCCAGGAGGATCAGGAGCCACTGGTGGGTGTTCTTGACGGGCAATTTTATAGCTGCGATTGATCTACACGACGGCCAGTTTATATTTAACCAGGAAGGACAGATGGAAAAAAAGTTTTCTCTGCCCCTTTTCAATACTTCCTCAATACATTTCCTCAATACATCTGAAGTTTAAAAGTAAAATATTGGGGAATCTTCCTTTCCAATAAAGGCAGGAATATTCCTGGAAGTGTTTTGTTTAGACAAGCCAGCTCCCGATGTTTCCTATGCATGCCCCTATCCCGTTTCCCAAAAGACGTTTTAAGAACTGATTGGGCATGACTAGGATGGCATTGTGGCTTCATTCTAAACCACAGATTCCCTTACAGGACAACCCAAGTCCTCTTTTGGGGCCCTTCGATCTGGGCCTGGGGAAAAACGTCGGAGTTTAGACAGGGGGGCGAGCAACCTCAAAGCAAAAATATCGACACCCTGGTCCCCAGGGAGAAGAAAAGGAAAAACCTCAGTGTGCTGGCTGACAAAACTGGCACCCAGCCCGTTTGGTCTTCCCATTCACCCGGTCTGGCCACACCCTCGTCAGACCGCAACAACAGCCTTGCGAGGTAGGACAGGCTCAACCAATCGAGGCGTTTCGGGTCTGAGCGGCGAGATGGGGAGCCAGCGGCAACTTGTCCTAAACCCACATGGCCGGCCATGGGAAACTGCCCCCTTTCCCCTTGCTGCAAACCAAGTTTAGCCCGTCCCCACCTGCTTGCTCCTCTCCTCGGCATGTTTCTGCTCTGTCTCTGCTTGTTCTGCTCGGTCTAAGGCATTTTCCTTATCCAGCTTCAGCATCTGCATCTTTTTCTTGATGGCTTCCATGGTGCCAGAGGGTCGCGAGAGCGAGCGAGCGGGCAAGTGGGCGGACCGGAGGGCGCGTTGGCACAGGGGAGTCTGCGACCTGGCGGTTCCCCTCCTGATCTTTTATAGCCGTCCCCTCCTGCCAGCTGGCGCGGCAACGTTGCCTTTCTGGGGCTAGGGAAGGGGGGGGAGCTTTCTCAAGTGACACCCCAAACGCCCCTCCATTGTCCTCCGAGTGGTGCGCGAAATGCTTGCAGGGTGAGGACAATGGCCATATTTGGGCTCTCTGGGGGACAGCTGGATCCTACTAATAGAAGTCCCAAAGGGGTAAAAGAAGGGGAGGAGGAGACGGGCACTTTGCTGGCGGGAATGCTTTGTTCCGAGAGAGAAGGGCCAGGCAGCTGGGCCTCCCTCTGGCCAAGCAGTGGGGAGGATTTCACTGGGTTTCCTGCACATCGCAGAGGCTGGACTAGATGATCTTCGGGGTCCCTCCCAGATCCACCATTCTAGGGCTCGGCGGACCTGTCCTGCTAGAGCGGAGAGGGCTATTCTTCGGCACTGCCCAAGCCGTTGCGGGGCAAAGCGATCTCGCTTCTCGACAGTGATTCAAAATAAAACCCGGCCCCGTGCTTACGCGTGAGCTTCGTCCTTCGTCGTCCCCCCGCCCCGTTGGTCTGTCACCTGAAACCTTGCAAGGGGAACCCCTTCTGGAGCCTGGCCCCCCGTTTTTCAGGGGGCAGAATGGGACTCCGGCTCGCACGAGGCTTGTGGGCGAGAGCAACCGGCTCAGAAAGGGTATAGATGGGAACTGCAAGGAAAACTTGCATGAGAAATGTTGTCTTTGCAAGAAAAACTCCCACTGTCCAGCAATGGGGGGACAGGCTGAGATACAAGAAGCCTTCCTGGACGAAGGAGAACACGTGGCATGGGTTTCCGCTGTGACCCCCAACCCCCAGGACAATCCCCAACTTTTTCTCCCCCATCCTTGGAAACATCCCTCCAGGGTGAGGTTTGCCTCTTCGGCAAAAAGCCGGGGGGTTGTTTGAGTTTGGCTGAAGAGGCTTGCCAGCCAGGCCTTACGACAGGGTTGAACGCGGGCACTTTGGTTCAAGAAACCGGAATTTAAGAAGCGGGTTTCGGAGGCCGTGTGAATCAGCCCTCTGGCGGGGACCGGGCGTCCCGCTAAGCCGGGTCGGAAGGGTTAAGTTACCCTAAAAACCTAGCCCGATCACAACCTTACCAGCTCTAGACTCTGGGGTTATGATTGGAAACCCCCTCTTCCTTGGGGGCCCGTCTTTCTCACCAACTTCCCTCTCCCCCCCAATGTGGACCAGGGGGCATTTTCTCTGGCACGCAGGGGTGCAGCGTTCACACCCGTGAACCGCCTTCCTCCCCCGTGAACTGACAGGTTCCTTTTTGAACGCTGTCCACTCTCCAGTCCTGATTTTCTGGCTCATCCCCTGCTTCAGGGGACCCCACCTAGCTCCAGATCCGTGTTGTTCAACCTTGGGAACTCTAAGAGGTGTGGACGTCCATTC